TAGCTTCTTTCAGCCTCCCGGGGCCATGGCAAAAGATGGGCGCCGAGACTGACAAGGCCTGAGGGTTTGTAAGAGTGATAGTTCATTACTACGATTATTAATGTTCATATTATTACTGTTATTCTTATTTTTGTTTTGTCTTATTAGTATTACTGTTATTCTTGTTTTTAGTTTGTGATTCTTATTAGTATTATTGTTATCGATTTTAGGCCGCAAACCCTCAACTGAAGCTGAAGCATTGGGCTAGTTTGCGAGCTCGCGCAGTGTGGTGAGGTTTAGGGTTTTAGGGTTTTAGGGTTTAGGGTTTAGGGTTTAGGGGTTTAGGGTTTTAGGGTTTAGGGTTTAGGGTTTAGGGGTTTAGGGTTTAGGGTTTAGGGATCCTGGCGGCAGGGTGCGCCCCTGTGAGAGCCGCGAGAGAGGCAGCTGAAAAAGGGAAGCCCTCCACGACCACGCAGGGTATTAGAGGGGCCTACATAATTACCTATATTGTTTTGGGGGTTCCTGATTATAGTTATAGTATAATGGGCCCCAGAACCCGATTCTAATTATTGAGGCCCCTACATTACCCTTTACAGAGCCCGTTTGTACCCTAGACCCCGAATCCTCAACTCCCTAAACCCTAAAGAACCCCAAGCCCCAAACCCTCAACACCTTAATTGTGTTGGCTGGGGAAAAGGGGGGTGTCGAGGCTAAGTCTGCGAGGGTTTGGGGAGTACGAGTTCAGGGCTTACAGTGTTGAAGCTGGTGGGTTTTAGGATTTAGGGCATGAGGGGTTCAGCGCATGCTTCGGGGTTCAGGGGTTTAGGTTTTCGGGTTTGAGGCTTGGTGTTGGTGATTTGGGGCTAAGTAGCATTAGCCTTTTGTTTTGGATGTTGGCATGGGGAGCTTGCCTAGATCGGAGCACCCGGATCTTTGCTTTAAAGCGTCGGGCCTGGGTGTGTAACAAGGGTTCGTTTTTCTTGAGGTTTCTCCAAGGGCTTGTAGGAGATTATGGATGGAAGGTCGGGGAAAACTTGAAAATCCCAGGTTTGAACACCAGAAGTCCAGATCAACTCCCAGAAGCCCAGTTGCTTACAAACTGGATGCTCATGCTACTACGGCTATATGGATATCGAATCTTCCTCTGAGGGCTTCAAGTCGGTCCCACTTCCTTTTAAAGGTAGGCCGATCTCCCAACAACGTCGATCGACTCCTACTCTATCCCTAGGGCTTCACTTACATATAAAACGGGTTGCTGGGTTACATATTATATGGTTAGTAGCCTGCTATTCCAGTAACTGGAGCCCTATTCCATTGCGAGGTGTTCATGGTTTGGGGCTCGTTTTGCCTTTGAAGTTATCCTCACCTGGGCACCGTACCTAGTTAGCGCTCCCTTCACGGTTCAAGCAGGCTATTGCAATGATGACAGCACAAGGCAAATCCTCGCTTCGATCAGGCTTCTGCATATGCCCCCGCTTCGTCTCCGGATTATCATGCCAGAAAACAAAACATCAGGACTCTGTCTAAAGCCCCCTTGTATTTTTGTTTGAGGGGTGGTCAAACAATTAGCAATAGAATGGCACCATACCGTCCCTTTAGAGTTGCGTTGTTCATACCCCAGAACCTTTTCCTAATTGTTTAGGCTCCTATCTTGGGTAAAGACCACTCATGCTGCGAAACTAAGTTCACCCAGAGCATTTTCAATCCTAGAGAATGAGAACTCAAAACACCATCTCTTGAAAGCTTGCTTTAACCATGAAAGATCTAAAAACCACTCACTAAGCTTGCCCTTGACCTCGAAAGGATTACGAACCCCCGCACCGATGGGTTTAGCGTTACGTTTTTTCTCATAGCAACGACCCATGAAGACTATGAGGATAGCATAAGCCAGTCAGTCTTTATCGCACCTACACCCTAAACCCCTAAACCCTAAACCCCTTTTACACTATATGACTGCCCCCTCCGGAGGGCCAGGCCCTAAATCCTAAACCCTTAAGCCTTCTGGTCATAGATTAATGCTCCCTCCAGAAACCCTGAACCCTTTGTGGTCATCTATTACTAGTAGTAACAGTGGTCAGTATAAGAAGAAGAAGAATAGTAGCAAGAATAGCAATATTAAATAACAGTAACCATACGGTTGATGCTATGAATCCTGCATTACCCATAATTTTGGAACATACCATACTTCCCATAGTTTAGGGGTCCTTAAGGTAATGCAGGGTTTATATCATCCACAGTAGTAGTTATCCTCCCTAAACCCTAAACCCTCAA